AGATCCTGAGTTGAGATGATTCCATTGGTGGCCACCTGGAACGAGACACAAAACAGAATGAGAACTGTCTATAATGATCTAATTCTGGGGTCATATTCTAATCATTTTTTTAGAATAAAATCAGAGTTACAACTTACAGCAATAAGCTCATTTCATTGACCACTTTGAATTTAATTAATAATAATAAATAACTCTAACATTTAAACTTCTAAAGAAAACTTTTAAAAACTTTAAAAATTAAAAAAATAATAATAATAAAACTAAAGGAATGACAGACATTATTGACACAAGTTATACGGACGTTTCATAAAAAATTCATATAACATGATAATGAAAACATTTGTACAGTTTATTCATATTCCCAGAGGGACATGCTCATCTCAAATGAACAAGAAATCCTTTTTATATTACAATATAATTGTTTTTAAATATTTGGAAATAGACTTGGCTTAAGGTTATTAACCAAACAACACATTTTCAGAAATCAATTTTAAAATAAAGTCTGATCCGTTGTAAAAGAAAGTAAAGAAACGTTATATACTGTGTTTATACTGTGTTTTATATATATATATATATATATAAATTAATTATATATACATTAATTATAATAAGTCTTTAATTATATATACATACACACACATATAGACAGACAGACAGACAGATAGACAGATAGATAGATGCAAAACAGCAGCAACAACAAAACATTAACAGGCGTTTCATGTACTCACATATAAGTTAGTGAAGGACGTCTCATAGAAGTACATTGGTTTGGTGAGCGTGGTCACTTCAGAAGTCTCATCGTCCCCTTTTTGCAGAGTTACATCGCCGTAAAACATCCCATACGGATAGATGTCATGTCTGTGAATGGCTGTGACATGCTGAGCTGTCAATGAAAGTTGTAAAAAGAAGAGCGCTATTTTGTCCCACGTCATCTTAATGAACAGCTGTACACATGCAGCTTTTATTCATGCGGCACACTCCGTCTGAATGAGTTGGAGTGCGCGGTGATGTTGGAGATGTTGGGGCATGAAGGTGGAAAGTTTGTGATCCAGGCACTGAACGGGAGGGACTGTGGGAGGTCACGCGGACGACGATTGGCTGACGTTAAACTTATAAGAGAAGAGACTCTGAAGGAAAAATTCTTCATTTATTTAATAAAGAACTTAATCATTTATTCAATGTCGAAATTTTCTCGGAATTAGCATATTTTATAGCTCATACTTTTTTATAATATTTATATAAAAACATTTCTATGTATGTCATATAATTTGGATTATAAATATAATTATAATATAATGTAATAATGATAATATCTAATAAAATATATTAAGTGAAATATAGTATTGTTTGTTTTAAGTGTTATTTTATTAAATTATTATAATTATATAATAATTATTTTACAAAATTATTATAATTATACAATAATATATTTTATTCGGGTAAATATTCAGCTTTTTCTGCATAATCGCTAATGTTGTTTTTCCTGTTTTACCTGACAGTTTAGTGATAATTGCTTTAAAATAGATTTAATCCAATTATTAATCCAATTATTCAATCTGAAAGAGTTATTTTATTTCGACTTTAATCCATTTAAGGAGTGTAAATACTAGATAACAAATGGATTAGTGTCGCAAATCACTGCTGAGGCTCATCAAAGACTCATTATTCACACTGCTCATTTTTTAGTTCAATTACTATTGTGTTCGCATTTGCATTGTGAATACTGCACAATACATACTTTCTTTCCTTTGTGTATGATTCTTATATTGTCTAAATGATTTATTATTTTTGACATATAGGCCTATACACAAACTTATTTCGTCGTTGTTCATTCGTCTTGAGAACCGATCACTACCATAGATCACTACATGTCGGTCGTGTTTGTGGTGCCATCTAGTGGACATTCCTATATGAATATTGGACCCTGTTTGGAATGGGGACATATCGAAGCTGGAAATGACATGAAAAAATAAAACAAAATAAAATCTTTCTCTTATAACAAATTCTTCTGTAAACAAAATGTGCTTATAAAACAAGAAAATGAAGCAATTAATCTCTCGGTGTAACTGAATCTGATCTTGAGTGGCTTAAAGCATTTGCTGCTAAGAGAAATGATCATTCGTTGGAAACACGGACTGTAGAGCACAGGTCAAAGTTTTGTAAGTCAGACTCAGAACAAAGTTAATGAAACCATTGAAATGTTGGAAAATTAAAAAATGTATTTATTTATTTTTATTAATTATTATTATTATATTTTATTTATTTTTGGTAAGTTAGTCTTACAAAGAGTAAAAAAAATATATATATAAAAATTTAAATAAAAAAATAAAAACAATAAATTACATTTTATTCCTGAAAGGATTTGCTTTGTAAATATTTTATGTTTTCTGATTGAAATAATTAATTAATACATACACAAAAAAAATTAAAACAGTATCCAAGAACACTTGTTTAATTACTAACAAAAGAGTGTCCAACAGGGCAAAAGACCCCTAAGGGTGAAAGGCCACTTGGATTTTATCTTCTCTCAGATCACTGAATAACAACAAGCACCACCACAGCACTTTCCTAAACACCTGTTTGTCAAGAAATGCAAGCAATGACAAAAGATCAAATCTGAGGTCATTTGATTTAATATCCACTAATGTTCAAATGTTTGGGTTGGTAAGATTTATTTAATCAAAAATACAGTAAAAACTGTAATATTGTGACATATCATTACAATTTCAAACAACTGTTTTCTATTTGAATGAGCCATACAATTATTCCTGTGATGACAAAGCAGAAATTTCAGCATCATTCCTCCAATCATCAGTGTCATGATCCTTCAGAAATCATTCTAATATGATTCGGTGCTCAAAAAACATTTCTTATTATTATCAGAAAACAGTTGTGCTGTTTAATATTTTTTTTCCATGATTCAGAAAGGTCAGAAGAACAGCATGTACTTGAAAAAGAAATCTTTTGTAACATTATAAATGTATTTGCTGTCATTTGTGATCAGTTTAATGCATCCTTGTTGAATAAAAGTAAATATATATAGATCAGTACCTTATTTGGCATGTAGAGGGTGCAAGATGTAAACAAATAACACCAAGTTTTTTATCACTCCTCTACAGCTCAGATTTATCTATTTTGTTTTAAGTGACTTGTCATTTATTCATCCTATAATCATAAATTATACAATAAAGTTTCCTTGTTTTATGATTTCATTAGTGGACATGTCTATTGTCTGCTTAAGGTAACTGGAATTTGACAGTGTCCTGATGTACATGTGATGTTCTTCAATTTCAGTGAATCTGATCTAGACGTTTCAAGTTTCATGTTCATAACCATGTTTGGCCTGTCAATATGAGCATGACCCAAGCTATTTGTGCTGTAACCATTTGGGCTGTAGCCGCCTAACACATTCAGTGTGTTTACATATGCTTCTTAACATCAGACATTATGGTTCAGAAGGAGAGCTCTACAAATACAGAGATCACTGCCATAGTAGCATCACTGCCAAATAGCTTGGGCCTAACACAAATGGAAGCTTCACAATCAAGAAAAAAAATAAAAATAAAAATAAATATATATATATATATATATATATATATAATGTTAT